CAAAATATATATATATATATATATATATATAATTATTTTAAATTATTTTATATTTCGAATAATAATGATTCGAATACGAACGAACGCATCACTGTTCATATTTGATTCGTTTAACTAACCGAACGAAAAAATTTTGTTTACGTTCATCTCATTTACTTATCAAACGAATCGAACACGACCATATTGACTAAACGAACACGAACTGTTCGCGAATAACGTGTTTTTTTGACAGCCCTATAAATTACAATCAAAATTAAAATAATAATAATAATAAGTGGCCACAATTAAATGTCACCATCTAGTGGTAACTAAGTTCAAATAATGTCGATTTTAAATAACTGTTCTAACAAATTATTTAAACCCAAAGTTTTTTTTCTTACCTAAATAAAAAATAAAAAAATAAAAAAAATCAAGATTGCATATTTAATCCGTGTCATCGAACCTCGAGCAGGATGAATATCCCTGCATGTTTCTGGATTGTGCATCTTAGACATCCCTATCCGAACAGTCGAAATATAGGATAAATTTATTTATTTTAAAAAGGAAAGATGAAATGCTCAAATTCTAAAGCTAAATAGATATATAAATATAGAAATTAACACATGAGATAATTTTTTTTTTTCTAATTTTTGAGTATTTTGTCTCTACGGCTGTCAAAATGGCTCGTTGTTCACAAATAACTCGTGTTCAGCTCATTAAGAAGCTCGTGTTCAGCTCGTTCGCTAAATTAATGAGCCGAACACGAACAAAGATTTGTCCGTTTGTGATGGGCTCATTTTGGCTCGATATACCACTTATCAACTATATCCATCTATCTATCTATCTATCTATCTATATATTGATGAGTAATATTTTTAAAAAATTTCATTCACTACAAGGCTACAAAGATTTACAATAAATTAAAAACATTAATTAAGAAAATAGAATAAAAGTTATTAAATTAGATTCAAATAAAATTGTAATATAAACAATATTTTTTAAATCTTCCTCCAACCCTTAATATCTTATGACTACGTGATTAGGGTTGTCAAAATGACTCTTTGTTCGTGAATAGCTTGTGTTCGACTCGCTAAGCAAACGAGCCGAACACAAAGACACTTTTTGAGCTAGAAATATAAAACACGAGCTGAGTCTGGACTAGCTCATGTTCGGCTCATTTACACCCCTGCTTGTCTGCTCATCATGACGCAAATTGTGTTTAATCAAACAATATAGAGTCCCACAAAAAAAAAATGAAGGAAAATAGTGGTTCGATTTGTGCACCAAACCGAAATACAGATGCCATCATAGGGATAAATAACAAGAATTACGCTCTTAAAACCCTTCCAAGAAAGCTTTACCGAAGAAAAAATACATTCCCAATTAAATGAAATGAATGATAATGGGTTAGCGTTTATAAACTACTTTTCAAGGCAATTTTATCATTAGCTTTACATAAAAATTGCTCCAACAATAGTTCTTGTTTTAGATTTTGTTCAAAATGGAGTTTATGTTGAAATAAAAGATGGATCTTGAATGAGAGGATTGAGCCCTTCCATATTGGAGAAAAATTTGCATACATAAGACGTAGGAAGCGTCAAGTAGGTTACAGGGAGAGTATTGGGGTTATATCCGCGTTACACCCTCTAAAATCTCCCTGTAACCTACATGTAACTTATAAATATATGAAAACTGAAGCGCGAAACTTACTAGTTACAGACAAATTACAGGTAGATTACAGTGAGATTATATGGAGTATAACACGGATATAATCCCAATACACTCTCTATAACGTACCTGTAACTTACAAATATATCAAAACAGAAGCGTGAAACTAACTAGTTACATGTAAGTTACAGGTAAGTTACAGCGAGGTTATATGGGGAATAATGTGGATATAACCCCGAATATACTCCCTCTAACATACTTTGACGTACGTAGTGCTGCGTACGTCTCTGTTGATAGGAACACGCAAACACTCGTAAAAAGCTATTAATTACTTGCATATTAAATCTAAGAAGATTTACATACAAATATACCACTAAAAGCAAACATATTTAGCTACCAAAATGGAATTTTGATAAATTAATATGAAACAACTGCACAAACATAATGAACTTGGGATGAATTTCCTGATTGGACTGAAATCCGATTAAATAATCTAACTGATCCTCGAGCTAATGAAATTATTAATCTCCCCCAACGAGCCTATGCAGAATAAATGAGGAATCATAGAAAAACGATTCACAGAAAATCCAAGCAGCAAACGATTTCCTGGTCCAAAATTAATACAAGGCAAGGGTTAACAATCTGTACAGTAACACAAACGGCTCAGATTTCTTCAAGATTTCTAATATACACACGGTGGAAGAAGAAGAAGAAGAAGAAGAAGAAGAAGAAGAAGAAGAAGAAGAAGAGCGAGGGATAACTCGGCAGCGTCATCACACCATACCCTTCGTCCGTACAATAGACAGAAACCAAACATGACGGCGCATCAAAACATAAACAACCAAAAGAAACCTACCACCCATGATGCTTCCGCAACAACAAGCCCCACTTCACCACACCGGGAAAACCTCAACACCGCTGCCGCCTCCGCCGGCTAGAACGTCGTCCGGTAGAAGGTGCGAACGGCAGAGAGGACAAGTGTCCTTTCGGTAATCCAGCCACCGCTCAACGCAGCCCTTGTGGAACAGATGCCCGCAAGGCAATCTGTTCACCACAGAGTTCGAATCGAACCGAACCAGACAGACCCGGCAATCGGCGTGCCATTCCCCTGTCAGAACGCGGCCAATTGCCGATCCGAATCTCACCGGCTTGATCCTGCTCCGAAACTTCTCCCTTAAACTGGGCTCCTCAAAAGCTGCCGGCGAAAGTTCCGGCGTTCCATCCACCGATTCCGGCGACAGACCGAACAGATGTAGCACA